GAAAAGTAAATGTGTTGTAGAATAGTGGAAGAGGAAATAGAAATGGAATAGTAGAAAGAAGAATAACGGAAGTGGAACAAGGGTGGAAGTGGAAATGGAAAAGTGGAAGGGAAATAATGGAAGAGTAAGTTAAACGGAAAAGTGGAAATGGAAGTAGAATAGTGTAAGTGGAAATAGAATTACATAATCGACACCCAGAATAGATTTAATTTCTTTTTTTTTAATTTTTATTTCGAAAATTCCATTTTTTTTTTGCTCTTTTCTTTATACGGAATTAGGTGCTAATGCTAGTGTGTTGTTGGGGGTTTTTGAACAGTAAAAGCAAAGTGGAACAGACATACAACGAAGGAGGTGAAATCCACTGCATAATTGAATACAGCAGCCCCTCGGCGGTCCAGAACCGCAAGTGGTCGCATTATATTCGTATACAGCCTCCGCGCTCACTCTTCTCTCTCTTTCTCTCTGTCTCTCTCACACACTCAAGAAACAGGTATCCGAAGCTATAATTCTCGCGAGGAAACGCGTTACTGGCATAATAAAGAATGAAAGTCTCTCTACCTTGAAGCGAAGCAAAACGACGCGTTTCTGAAACTGGAAGAAGAAGAAGAAGAAGAGAAGAGAGCGATCGCTGACGGGGCGTTGCTGATAGATTGCGCATTTATCCATGGACCGATGATACGACTTTGAATATATATCACATCTCTCGCCTTTTGCGATGCAAGATTTTTATCAGAAAAAAAAAACTTTTTCAAAAATAATAATTTTCATATTAGTGTTATATTAAAAGCAAATTTTTTTTTTGTTTTCAGAAATTGATCATTTTTGAAGGAATACTAGTATTAAAATTTAAAAACTTTTTTTTACTTTAAAAATGATTCTTATAAGTTAAAAAAAAATGAGACAAATTTATAGGAGGTGAAAAAAGGGGAAACAAAAGAATATTCCATTGGATGTATATAATATCTTAAGATCTTTCTCAGGGAAGAGTCGAGTCGAAGGTTAGTCATGTTAATTAAAACAAGACGAGATTAATAAAGCCACCCATATGATTCATTGTCTCAAGAGGCAAATTAATTGGCGCAATTTGTCCGGGTGCGAAAAGTGACTCAAAAAGCAAGTCTCAACTAAGGATCGAGTATACAATAATACATATATTCAAGTTATAGTTTCATTCATTAAAATAATCGTTCTTTTAGATCTTGGGAATACATGGGTGTTTATCGGTTAAAGAAGACTAAAGAGTGGAATTAAAAAAAAAAATTGAAAAAACTAATAGAAACAGATAAATTTTTTGGGAACAATTTTTTTTTTTTTATAGAGGAAAAAAAAATTGCGACAGTCTAGTTTTATATAAATTTCCGTCTTCTCTTTTACTCGCTCATGTTTTTCCCAGGAGACTCCCTCGCATACATGGTAGAGTACTCGAGTCGTATGAAATCGCGATTTTCAATCGCACGTTTCATACTCGGATATGGTAATCGACCTTTAACCTCTTCAGTCTCCATCTTCGTTGCGAGCACCAAGTATTAAGAGAATTCCTTTCGATATAGAAGGAAGAGGTGACTTTTCTGTCGTATATATTTAGAGAAACACAAATTTAATGTTATAAAATTGGCCAAGATGAATGAATTTTTTTTTTTATTTGCAAAACAAAATCTAGAGGCGAGAGGAAACAATTTACTCGAGATGAAAAGGATGAATAGATGATAGTTTGATCCTTTATAATCGTTGGAATGTTGACTAATAACGAAATCATATATCAGTTTTTCTTCTTCTTTCTTCAATCCCAGTACCACTTTGAAATCGACCGCTCATTTTTTAAACCAGAAGGTTTATGGTCGTTGGTTGAGGGATGAAAGGAGACTTTAACCGTGAAATATCGCTTGGCGTTTATTGGAAGTGGTGGTGGATTCATCTAAGATGAATATAGCCTCTAATTATGAATGTCGATGAAAGGGCTTTTGGCAATGAGAATAAAAGAGAAAAAAAAAGAAACACATCTCTTTTGTTAGCAACGCTGATCGAAAAGAGTAAAGAAAAAAAAAAAGATGCGCGCAACTCGATTGCGAAATGGTTTCGAGTTTCTTCTTACGTCACTTTCGAATCCAGGCGAAATTCAGAATCGATTGTCCACTCTCTTTCTTTCTTTCTCTCTCTCTCTATCTTTCTCTTTTCTGTGTTGGCTTTTACGATCGACTCCAATGTGTATTGTGGTGCTTTTGTAAAAAGACACGTGGACTTCTATCAATTGAATGTCCAACTCGAAAAGTCAAATGAAAAAAAAGAGTTTACAAGAGAAAATGGCAAGGAAGAAAAAAGCCGCTAAAGAAATGAACACAAACAAAAAAAAAACGTGCAGAAAATGAAAACAAATCTGAAAAAGGATTTTTGAAATAAACGAAAACACTCTCTAAATCTGCAATAATGATAAGTATTTTCTAAATGTGAACTATACACTTTTGATTAAATCAGCTGTGTCGATTCGTTCATTAAAGGAATTAGTAACCGTTTGTATTAATTCTTAGACAAAAATGACTAATTGTTAGTAGAAAACTACTAATTGCTGGTAGAAAACTACTAATTTCTAGTATAAAACTATTTATAGTTCTAGAAAACTACTAATTTTAGTACAAATCTAGTACAAATACAATTTACAAATACAAATTTAGTACAAATCTACTAACCGCTAGTAAAAATGAAAATATAAAAAATTACCGACATAGAAATCTACCTTACCGACTGACAGTAAAGAAATTTTTTTTGAATCTTATCAACTTTTCTAAACTATTTACCATCAGTCGGTAAGGTAGATTTATGTGTCGGTAATTTTTAATTTTTTCATTTTCCGAAACCCCTGTTTTACCATCAGTCGGTAAGGGAGATTTCTGTGTCGGTAATTTTAGTATTTTTCCGGTCTCTTGAAATCCGATATACGTGAGTTTCACTGTAGTAGTTTTCTACCATTAATTAGTAATTTTTAACTAAAAATTATTAATATTTAGAGAGTAAAATTATCGAAAAATGTGTTTTTTCCTCTTTGTTTTACAATTTTTGTTCTGATTTTGTATGATTTGAGAAAAAAAAAAGAATAAAAAGTAAGTTCACTTGTTAAAAACATGATTGGAACAATTTGATCCTTTTTTTCACCTGAGTGAAAGAACTCATTTTCCAGAGAAATGGGTTTCGTGGTCTTCAAGACATATAATTCTTCTCGATATCACGTTAAGGATTTCCACTTTGCGATACAGCCGTTTTCTCGATTGGTCCCGTTTTCTCTCTCTCTCTCTTTCTCGGTCACTTTGTGTGATAAGAAAGAAGAAGAAAGAAAAGGGAAAAAAAGAGAGAGAGAGAGAGAGAAAAAAAACGTAGGTTGAAAATGGTCGAAAGAGAAATGATTCCACGGTTGGCGAGACGGGTTTTGATCCCCCTTAACTCAACTCTGATCCGAAAATCAAGTGACATCGATCTCTTTGGTGAGCAATCCTTGGTCCTCCTCTCTCCCTCTCTTGACTTTCCTGCGGTTCGTACCATTTCGCTTTTGCCCAGTCACTAAGTCGAGTGTAGACCTCTTTGTCTTACCGAATCCAACCCCCCCCCTCCTCCTCCTCCTTCTCTTCACCCCCAGAGCGGTAAGTGAATAAAAGCCCGTCCCACTGTCTATAAAGGGAAAGGTAAAGGGGAAGCACTTTGGCTTGGCAATTTATTGATTTAGGTTCTTCATCTATGCGACATGACGCTAGAAATGAAAGAGAGAGAGAGAGAGAGAGAGAGAGAGAGAGAGAGAGGGGGGGGGGATGTGGAACAATACTTCTTATCGGAAGTAAACGAAAAGTGAATTTTTGTACTTCTTTTGACCTTCTGAACAAAATGAAAAATGAATTTTCCTTTTTTCTTTGCTTATAATTAAAATATAAAAAAATTCTAATTATAGATAAAATTTATTTGACAATTATTGGAATTATAAGAATCTAGGAGAAAAAAACCTCCTTTTGCTCAGAAGGATAAAGTCGACTTATTTAATAAAAAAAAAAATTAACAAGAGAGAGAATGTCATCTTCAATAAACATCATTTACCATCTTAGGCAAAAGCTTTGTTGACAATATTCCAAATTTCCATAAAGTGTACTTTAAGAACAAAAAGAGAGAGAGAGAGAGAGAAAGAGAGATTATTTTCCGAGGAAATAGAGAAATGCGAAAGTTGTTTTGACGTATATAGCGTTCCACTGTCAAAGACAGTGCTTCCGACATGAGGGAAAGAGAGAGAGAAAGAGACAGCCTATATCTAACGTTTTGTACCCTACTGCCGAAGGACTTGATCCTCTGAACGTTAACGACTGCAATAGTAAAGCGGAAATCAATTCGAGCGTCACTTGACAAGAGAGAGAGAGAGAGAGAGAATGGAAGAAGAGAGAACTCTCAAGAGTGGAGAAAAACGAGCTATTTCAAGCGGAAGTAGAATCCGAAGAGAGAATTTTCAGAGAGAGAGAGAGAGAGAGACTACTACTCTTTGTGCCGAAAGCAGTTTCATGAACGCCTTACTATCGATTGTTTTTACATGGAAGCTAAAATTTACTACTCTTCGTTTATAAGTGACTTTCTTATCATTTTAAAACTTCATACATAAAATTAATCCCTCTCTCAGAATAAATAGAATCCTTTCAAGCGTTTTGAAACCTTTCGAAAATGAAAATCCGAAATTAAATTTAAATACAATAAAAAGTGGTCAACAGTGGGTCACTTTAATTATCATCAAAATTGATTTAAAAAAAAATCACTCAAAAAAAAATTTGATTAGAATGTGAACCACTTTTTAAGAAAATTACCCAATTTATGTAATAATAATAATAATGTGCATTTCTCATTGGCGTCAAAGCTGATTACATGTTATCAGCTTTGGCTTTGACAGTGTTAAATGGTTCATTTAACAGGCAATGTGTTGATGACGTTCAAATAATAATTAACAGGTATATATATATATGGTCTTGATTATGTCATTGCAGAAAGCTGGAGGCGATGACCACACACAGCGCGACGTAAATCCATATCGAACTCAAACGGTGTGCGGCGAGTAAAGACATTTGTTTCCGCAGTCACGAGAAACGGATACCGCATGAGCATCAGGTAAATAATATATACAAGTTCAATTCGAAAATCAAATGGTTCGAAAAGCATGGACAAACGATTTACTCGGGGTAATTTATTTTCAAATATTTTATCAATAAGAAACTACCATTAGTGAAAGTGGAAATAAAAATACAAGTGAAAATTTGTATCAGTGGAAGTGAAAGTGAAAATCAGTAGCAAATTTTTAGAAAATACAATACTAAAAAATTTGAAATAATAAAAACTAAAATACCTTTTATTTAAAAAATCCCCTTTTAAAAATAGAAGAATAAAGTACAACATTGTTCCCATATAATACAACATGGAAGTCCCTCGATCTGTATCAGTTGTCGTTAATTCTCCAGCAAAGAATGTGTAAATCAGGATAATTTATGTAGCAACAAGGTTACCAGCAATGATTTTCCGGTAACGTCTTCTTATATACCCGCAAAACGTTATGCAAGCTTACAATCGTATTTTTACTAGGGAAATTAACTACCAACGAGAGACAAGGGAACGTTGTTAAAAATCTTGTGGCGCAAAAAAAAAAAACAGTGAAAAAAAGTCGCACAACGCGTTATTCGATACGAGCGATTTCCCAAGGACGTTTTTACGAGGAACCCTCGAAATCCATTTGGTTCATGGTCCACTCTGGCTTTACCGATACTTTACGACGGTTCTTGATTTCTCTTAGCCAAGCAAGAAGTAAAAAAGCAGAGAAAGTGAGAGAGAGAGAGAGAGAAAGAGGAAAAAAAAGAAAGAAGAAAAAAGAAGCTATATATATAAAGAAAGAGTAACGATTCCACCTATTATATCGATATCTACAATTTCGAAAAAAAAAAAAAATTGTCAACTTTGAAAAATGTACAATTCTCTGGTATACGACGTACGATATATAGAAGAGAGCGAAAAACCATTGTCACCAAAGAATCGACCCTGAACCATGTATCTCCAAGTCAGGACGATCTCATCCGTGAACCTTCGATTCCGTAAATTTTTCACATTCCCTGAACCGCACCAGGCATTGCTGCCAGGAGCAAGCCAACTTTATTCCGCAATCTCCGACGATCTTGCACGCGTGCTTGACCGCCTCCAGGTATTTCAAGTTGTGTACGATAAGCTCTCTCTCTCTCTCTCTTTCTCTCTTGGCCTCTTTTTTTCACATCCCGACATGAGCTATTGATATACCTTGTTCTTCTTGTTGCATTATCAATTTTATGAACTCAACAATGAGACATCAGATATCAATTTTTCTTTCATTTTTTTTTTAAATTCATTATATACGATGACAATGCGTCCGCACATTCGATCAATTCTTACCTTTCACATCCTTGCAAGAAGAAGAATTAAAAGAGAGAAATTGTTCCGAACACTCACCTGTAACAAAAAAAAAGAAACAATTCGTTAATTTTTGTGTCTGACACTATTTAAAAAGAGTTGCACACTGAGAAAAAAAATTTAATGTTTGCAACAAAATTGTTTGGTTAGGCAATTTTGGTTCTTGTAACCAAATTTTGCTTGGCTGAAACAAAGTCGTAGGGTTATCTCAACCAAACATTTGGTTAGGTCAACAAAATTATTTGGTTGAACATTTTTAAATTCCAACCAAAATTTAGTTACGACAACAACATAATTTGGTTAACACAACAAAATAGTTTGGTCTAAGAAACCAAATGATCGTTTGTTGTCCTAACCAAAATTTGGTTGCGACAACCAAATAATTTGATTCGCTCTTAGCTCATAGCTTAAGAGAACAGTTAGTTTAAATCTCTCACAAGGATGCGGGTAGCCCAGTGGTCAGAGCTCCCGACCTTCAGTTTTAAAACAGAGGTTCGATCCCAGGCGGAGATGAAATTTTTCAGTCCACAAATATTTCAATTGGATAAATATAAATTAAACGTTAAATTAGATAATAAATAAATAATGAAATAAATAAAAAAAGATACAAATAAAAGAAATAAGGTAGAATAAAATTTTTAATTTTACAAAAAAAATTGTTTGTTTGATCAACGAAACATTTTTGTTGACCTAACAAAAAAAATTTGGTTGAGCTAACCAAACATTTTTGTTATGCCAACAAAAAACACTTAACCTAATTTTTTGGTTGACTCAAATAGTTTGGTTGCTTAAATACCAACAAAATTTTTTTGTTAGCTCAACCAAATTTTGGTTGCTTTGACTAAACATTTTTTACAGTGCAGATTAAATTCATAAGATAAAAGATTAAATTAAACCATAGTTTTGGATTAAATTCGTTTTTGTATTTCGTAAACATAAACTTTAAAATATTATATCACAAATTTTTATATCAATTTATTTTTAAATTAATTCTACTTTGAATTGGATCTGAGACAAATATATCATTTCTCTGAATATAGAGTTCAATTTTTGGAAAGTTTACAATTTTAATCCAGGAATGGATTTAATCTATTTTGATATTTAAATAATTGAACTGTGTATATAAAAATAAATTTCGTATTAGTGACTTTTTTTTATAACCCATCTAATTGTAGCTGCAAAGAAAGGACATTGTTCCTAAAATGGTATATAAACGATGACCGCGCGCGTCTATTGGAATAACCACAATGTCAACAACAGGCTTTTGTCTCTAAAAAAGGGGAGGGAAAAAATTTGAAATTACTGCTTTTTGTGAAATAACGTTTGTATATATATATATATATAGTTCTTTTTTTTCTCTCCTTCTTACATGGTCACTGAAGCGTCTTTCCTTTCATTTGTTACGCTTGAGATGTACATGGTTATGCCCTTCTTATTAATGACACACTAATTTCTAGCGCCAGATGTAGGTTACACCGGATGTCATTATCAACATTACTACACAAAATTTTATTATTTTTTTTTTTTTTTAGTATATTTTAATTCAAGAGCGATTACATTCAATTACAAGATTCGCTCGTTTTTTAAACTTCCAACAAAAAAAAAATATATATCTAGAGACATTATAAGTACATGGTATCGAATTTATAATTTGAGTTTTGTAATTTGTACTGTCAACTCGTAATCAAGGGAAAAAAATGTACCATAGACCATTAAAAATGATATATAAAACAGAAATTACAATTCTTAACTGGCAAAAAAAAAAAAAAATGTAATGACATATTTTCAAAAACTCATTAGTCACAAAATCTAGATATAATACCTATTAAAATTTTGTAATGTCGAATTACTATTTAGCTGAATTTTTAAAGTATTTGAATCAAATAATTTTTTTTTGTCAGTGTACATCATAATTTTGATTTCGATTGTAGAAAACAATATTATTTTTATGTTCCACAACAAAAAGAGGCTTAATAAAGAAACACACATTAAATACATAAATAATTCCATATGATTATAATATGTACATCGCAAAAACCTCTGTCATCAAAAATATAATACATGTTTTCAATGTTATGTTAAATCCGTAAATTCGACGCATTAAAAATTAAACATACATCAAAAATTGATACGACATTAAATATATGACAATTTTATGGACACTTTTTATGTTTATTACAAATTGACAATATAAGATTTTTGATGTTGTATTTGTGGATATGTATACTATAATTTTTTTTAACGACCACTTAATTTTTTCAAATTCTACTTATGGGGAGAAAATAATTATTATTTCTCTGTTTGTGAACCGAAATACAATTGTTATTAGATATGTTTGTGAGATTTACATGAACTATATATATATATATATATTGAGGACAGTTATTGGTTCAAGTAAGGATGATGGTGTATATTCCATGAATTTGCAACTGAAGTGAATCTCTCGCGTAGTCACGATGCAGATGTGTTTCACGTAACGAGAAATAGGAAGTGATCTAGGTAGCCCACTTGACGTGTATGCATTAGAGGCTTTTGGAAAGGGGAGAGGGAGGGGATAAGAGAAGTAGCACACGCTTTAGTAGCTAGCCTAGTAGAGGATGCCATTTACGTTTAGAATCCTCCCGGCATATTCAGATTCAGAACCCGAGGGCCATGTCCTGAACGACTGGCATGCGAATAGACTGTAACGATCAAAATGGAACCAACAATAATAATTTACATCGAAAGCCAAAAAATATCCCATCGTTTCTTTTTCCAAATATATTTTAAAATTAATTGTTTTCAATTATTATTTTGTGAAAATTGAAATAGAAAAAAAAGAAGAAAAAAAAAAGTCGAAATTTTTAATCTAGAAAGCTAAAAAAACTCTATTCGGTAAGACCATTATGTGATGCTGTGAATGTATATGTAAGGATGCATTCGAGAGGTTTAATTTGCACCAAGATTGCAGTACACAGCGGACAATTACCTTTATTATTATATTCCCGTAAAAGTATCGCGAAAGAGAAGCGCCACTGAAAGGATCGTTTGGAACGAGCACCGTCATTAGAATCCTTTGCGCGCTTGCCATATGCACGCTTCAATGTGCAAACCCCTCGTTAACGAATCATTTCACGCCAAATCGATCGAAACCTACATATATATATATATAAATGCAACGAACACGATTGATGTAATACACAAAGTTGCCAATGTTTTTGTACCGAAAAAGAAAGAAAAATTGCTTGTCATGCAAAAAATGGGACTTATAATCGGATTGTTGTACTAATAAATACAGTTTGTCGGGAAGACAGAATTTTTGTTAGTCCAACAATTTGAAATTGTTACGCTGACAGTAAAACTGTTGAGAAACCAAAAAAATTTGTTGCAGCGACAAAACAGATCTGTAGGATGTATAACAAAATTTGTTCCATTCACAAACCAATCTGTTGGATGTACAAAAAAAATTGTTGCACCAACAAATCAGATTTGTAAGGAGTACAAAAAATTGTACCATCAACAAACCTGGTTCTTAAAATAGCAGATAAAAAGAATTCAAAAAAAGTGAATTCATTTCTAAATTGGGAAAAGTGATCCAAAGTGAGACAGCACAGATCTGTAGGATGTATAACAAAATTTGTTCCATCCATAAACCAATCTGTTGGATGTACAAAAAAATTGTTGCACCAACAAATCAGATT